GTGTGGCGTGTGTGTGTGTGTGGCGTGTGTGTGTGTGTGTGGCGTGTGTGTGTGTGTGTGGCGTGTGTGTGTGTGTGGCGTGTGTGTATGTGTGGCGTGTGTGTGTGTGTGTGGCGTGTGTGGCGTGTGTGTGTGTGGCGTGTGTGTGTGTGTGGCGTGTGTGTGTGTGTGGCGTGTGTGTGTGTGTGGCGTGTGTGTGTGTGTGTGTGTATGTGTGTGTGTGTGTGTGTGTGTGTGTGTGTGTGTGTGTGTGTGTGTGTGTGTGTGTGTGTGTACATATATATATATATTTATCATGTACACACGTATATATAGGTATATAATACATATATAAATATATATATATATATATATATATATATATATATATATATATATATATATATATATATATATAATCATATGAATAGATATATATATATATAATCATATGAATAGGTATATATATATAAATATATATATATATAAGAAAAAATATATATATATATAAATATATATTTATCATAAAGATAAATAAATAAATTAATTAATTTTAAAAAATGCATGTGTGTCCATATACATATATATATATATATATATATATATATATATATAAATATAAATATATATATATATATATATATATATATATATATATATATATATATATATATATATATATATATATATATACAAATATATATTTATCATGTACACACACATACACATATAATATGCACCATATGTTAGCCATTACAGTTAGCTAAAATAACGGATAACTATTTACCATTGCATTCCTTTTGTCTTGAAGTTTCAGTTTCTCAACCATGCTGGACACTTCCTCTTTAGCCTTCACACTGGACAATCCTTTTAGCTATAATATAGAGATTAAATATACTGTAAATATTACACTGGTAATATGTGGTTAGTAGCTAGAACTTGATTTCACACTTGATTTTGATAGTCATCATATGGTTTATTCTATTTGTAATTGCATTTTATGCAAAATTCTAACAATAAAGAAGCAATTCCCTAATACTACACTTTTACACTATTTGATCCACATTACTGATAATGGTAATAAAGAATAATCACACTACAGGGGACTGTCCCTGAATAAGGGGGAGGGGGTTGAGGAGTCATCTGGAGTTAGATAGCATAAGGTATCTATACCTGAATATCAAAACATCAAACAACTGTTCAAGCCAATTTGTTTATTTCTTAGAGTATCTGCTCTAACAGGTAAATTGCTGAATCACAAACTCTGTGCTAGATATAACTGCATCAACTTTTGCTTATTGCAAACATAAATAAGCATTTGATAATTATATTATGGATAGACATAAGTTCAAGAATGTCCAAAGAACATTCTTATATTAATATAAACAAAAAAAATAAAATCACAATGATTTACAATGAAATATCTAGTGATTTTTTTTATGTAAGTTTTGGGTTCATTTAGACATGAAATACGCTTTGCCTCAAGACTCCCTTGTAACATGATGTAGCCTTTGCAGTGGTCAGTATTTGTACCGAGTACTAGTAGTATTGTAGCTAATAAAATGCAAGCTTAGATTATCTTTAAAGTGCCATTACATGTATGACTTGTATGTAAATGTGAAAAATAGCAATATCTAGTAAACAATCCCCAAAACAGGAGTTCTGTCGACTTTTAAATTTGAAGATATCCCCGTTACTGCTCAATAGGTATGACTATACTGTTCTGTATAACATTTTACAAGCTTTATAACTATTTTCATGCTTGTTCCTTCATTTTTGCCACAGAATAGTTTGAATATAAGGCTCCAAGCCCAAAGTGTAGCCCCTCAATTCCTATTGTAAAAAAGTATTGTGACTGGATATGAGGGCTTTCTTTTACTTTTCCTTCAGGGCTATCCATCACCTGCCATGTTATTCTGATTGGAAAATATTTTTTTCTGTTAAAAAGAACATTGTGCACAATGCTCTTGGAGGGTGATTAGACTCAGAGGCTTTTGCATTATTTCCATCAATAAACAATCCATGAGCCATGATGAAAAGTGCCGGCTCTCAGGAGGACTATTTTTCCATGCTCAGGATCCTATTCCTGCCCTCCTTGACTGGCAGCACAGGTTGAATTACAAAAAACAAAAGTTATTGAAAGACACAAATAACAAATTGTTAATTTTTGTTATTATTGCACTGAATTATGGACTCCCTACAGAGATGATAATAAGTCTGTGAAAGGATAACAGTCTATTTCCATCTTGATAAAGCAATCACGTGAGAAATATAGACATTAGAAAATGGTAAAAAAGCTAAAAACGTTTCTGCAGAAAAAGAGAAAACAACACTACAGAGAGAAAGCATGGAGTCTTGTCACTGCAAATGAGTGGGTTAAAAAAAATGTATTTTTTTTTTACTTTTGCAAGATAACCCCCACCCCCCAGCTTGGATTAGTGGAGTATGAATGATATATGAAAAGAAACACAATTTTAAATTATAGAACATGAAAAAAATAAAATGAATTAGTTGTCTGAAATTATTATTTTATGATCAAATGCCAAGAGAAAGGTATACATTGCCGAGGACAGTCCCCTTCTTGCAACTATAACAAAGGGATTTTCAGGCCTTAAACCTTACCTTTTATTTAGTATTATTCAAGGTATATAAATGGCCAAAAGTACAGCCAACATCTAATACAAAATATTACAAATACCATGGCATGTCAAGCACAATTCCTTCCTTCTGATTTATGACTCACTAAGATGACAAATATTTGTCAATAAGTTTATCTTAACTTATGATCACACTTTCAATCTAAACTAAGTTTAATTCAGTTTCATCCTATGATATTTATTATAATTTTTTTTTTTTCTTTTTTAGCATAAGCATCTAGTTACTAGTAAAGCTAGGCAAAAATCATCTGAGATAAACACTTACCCTGCTAAAAAAGACAATGTGTTCAGACACTGTCAGTTCATCAAAAAGCACATCATGTTGCGGGCATAATCCAAGGGATCTCCTGACCGCTCCAATTTGAGTGACAATATCATATCCCCCAACTTCAGCTGTGCCCGATGTAGGTGGAAAGAGACCTAGGGGAAAATCAGAGTATGTCATGCAACAGAAATACACTCACAGACAAAGGGAACAAGCACTAGAAGTAAAGTATCTTATGAAAATTATATCAGCACTAGCTGCATAGTCGTAAAGCAATGAACACAAACAAAATGACAAGACTCACCAGTCAGCATGGACATTGTGGTTGTTTTGCCTGCTCCATTATGCCCAAGTAACACAGTAATCTGACCACTGTACATTTTCAAAAACATTTTGTTTACAGCAATTTTCTGACCACGAGGAAAAATCTGTTTGGGTAAATGAAATTTCCATGAATCAAAACTTTGAGAACTGCATGTGAACAAAAAATAAAACAATAAAATAGCATCAAATCACACAATTCAATATCAAAATGACAAATGGAAATAAATAAGGAACACAGAAATATTTCTAGGTATTTTAATCTATTGCCGCCAGGGAAAATTAATAAAAAATGAGGAAAATGCTGTGCCCATTCTTTATATTTTTGTGAAATGTCTGGGTAAACAGATGGCTCTGCTAGTGCTTAGCCACCAAGGAGTCAATTAGTAGATCTTGTGACCTTACCTGATTTTACTTTTTACTAGTGCTATGAATATTGATAGTGTTATTTTTATTATAAACATTATGATTACTGTAATGTTATAAACATAAGTAACAGCAAAATAAGATAACGTAAAATATCTTCGTAAATCAGCGAAAAGGGTGAATGGGCGAGACAGGTAGTACTCATAACTGGCTGATTGGTGACTTAGTACAAGTGTAGCCATCTATGTGTAAAAACAATTAAACAAGTAAACTCACAGTGGGCATGGCATGTACATACATGCCATGCCCGTTGGTAATGGGTTGATGTGAATAAGTTTCCATATTGCTGACATCATATTTTCTTTTTACTTATTAAAATGACTTTCTTTAACTCCTTGGTGCCGGGTGACGCCGATCGGGTTATACACAAAGAGCTCGAAAGCTGGCGTGCAGCCGAACGAGCCGGAGGCGCGCCAAAGTGCGGCAAGCCAGTGATTTGGGCTGATGTCCCCTACTCACGCGCTCAAAGTCGGCGCACCGCCTTTGTTTGTTTAAGCGTAGAGTTATTTTTTTCTTTTGTACACCCGGCGCCATTGGGTTAAGAGCACCAAATATGGAAATTATTGTACCCCTACATTTATAAAAACATATATGTCTCAATTTGTTGATGCTGTGAACAGTTGGCTCCAAAAGTATTTAGTCCTCAAAGAGTCAGTTAATATAATGTGCTTAATCTAGATATTTAGAAGGCCCTGTTCCCTCCCATATGGAGGGAACATGTAATCATATGGTCTGCGGGTTGAATCATGAATGATAATTTTAAAAATATTGAAACATAATTGTTTAACAGTATTTGCATATTCTCAAGTTTACAGTTCTTATCCATTCATAACTACATATTGCATATACCACTGATTACAATGGTGGTGCAAAGATGCAAAAACAGTGGCACTGCCTCTGCTCTTGCTCCTATCCTACAATCTCTCTTCCTCCAAGCACTCACCTCAAGCATCCTACCTATAGACTGGCTTTGTGCAAATATCACCCCTCTTTTCAAGACGGGCGACCAAACAGACCCAACTAGCTATCAGTCCATATCCCTCAATCGATACACAAGCACATCACAAACCACATTAAGAATTACATCCTTACAGATTCACTACATGGCTTTCAGCCTAAATGATTATGTGAGAATTACATCCTACATATGACATGGCTTCAGCCTAAATGATTATGTGAGAATTACATCCTGACATATTCACTACATGGCTTTCAGCCTAAATGATTATGTGAGAATTACATCCTGACATATTCACTACATGGCTTTCAGCCTAAATGATTATGTGAGAATTACATCCTGACATATTCACTACATGGCTTTCAGCCTAAATGATTATGTGAGAATTACATCCTGACATATTCACTACATGGCTTTCAGCCTAAATGATTATGTGAGAATTACATCCTGACATATTCACTACATGGCTTTCAGCCTAAATGATTATGTGAGAATTACATCCTGACATATTCACTACATGGCTTTCAGCCTAAATGATTATGTGAGAATTACATCCTGACATATTCACTACATGGCTTTCAGCCTAAATGATTATGTGAGAATTACATCCTGACATATTCACTACATGGCTTTCAGCCTAAATGATTATGTGAGAATTACATCCTGACATATTCACTACATGGCTTTCAGCCTAAATGATTATGTGAGAATTACATCCTGACATATTCACTACATGGCTTTCAGCCTAAATGATTATGTGAGAATTACATCCTGACATATTCACTACATGGCTTTCAGCCTAAATGATTATGTGAGAATTACATCCTGACATATTCACTACATGGCTTTCAGCCTAAATGATTATGTGAGAATTACATCCTGACATATTCACTACATGGCTTTCAGCCTAAATGATTATGTGAGAATTACATCCTGACATATTCACTACATGGCTTTCAGCCTAAATGATTATGTGAGAATTACATCCTGACATATTCACTACATGGCTTTCAGCCTAAATGATTATGTGAGAATTACATCCTGACATATTCACTACATGGCTTTCAGCCTAAATGATTATGTGAGAATTACATCCTGACATATTCACTACATGGCTTTCAGCCTAAATGATTATGTGAGAATTACATCCTGACATATTCACTACATGGCTTTCAGCCTAAATGATTATGTGAGAATTACATCCTGACAACATTTCCACTACATGGCTTTCAGCCTAAATGATTATGTGAGAATTACATCCTGACATATTCACTACATGGCTTTCAGCCTAAATGATTATGTGAGAATTACATCCTGACATATTCACTACATGGCTTTCAGCCTAAATGATTATGTGCCATACTCCTCGACTTTGCCAAAGCTTTTGACAAAGTCCCCCACAGAAGACTAACAGTTAAATTACAGTATTATGGGATCACAAGACCAATTCTTCACTGGATCCCTGCCTTCTTGACATGTAGGACCCAAGGTGTCCTGCTAGATTGTGTATCTTCTGACTCTGTCCCTGTCTCTTCTGGTGTTCTGTAAAGTACTGTTCTAGGCCCCCTTCTTTTCCTTCTATACATTAACAACCTTCCACTATTGACCCCAAACTTTTCCACTAGACTTTTTGCTGACAAGTCTTTCATTTTAACCAATCAACACAGATGACATTTAATCCCTTGAACAGTAAGAAAGGTCATTGTGTAGTAGGTTGGTTGTTGCTATAATAGATGGAGTTGTTGCATGGTGTTAGAGGCTGAAGTTGGAGATCTACAGGGGAGCCAGCAGGCTCCCCAGTCAGCTAAGGACTGTGTGCTTTTGCTGTGGTCTTGCTCTGCTGGAAGATTGGGGAAGGGCTGATCTCGCTTCCAGCTTCTGTGGTTTAAGTACACGGGCGCTGTGTAAGTGTGCAGGGAATGAGGGAAGCCCGCTGTTCAATGAGCAAGGACATAACGGCGGACCTGGTGTGACCCAACATGGGAAACTACACTAAACTTCAGGTTGCGGGGTCATGCTGCTACAGTGCATCTACTACTTGGACTGGTCTATATCTTTTTAAGGAGTGATTGTGTGGGTGTGAGTACCCACAGGTATGGCTGGGTGCTGAAGGTGAAGCAGGCTCCCCAGTCGGCTAAAGACTGAGCAGTCCTTTTGGTACTGCTGCTGTTGTTGTGTTCTGCTGGAGGATCAGGGAATGCTGATTTCAGTTTTGGATTCTGCAGCTTTAGTACACATGCACTGTGTAAGCATGCATGGAACAAGGGGAGTTCGCTGTCCAGTGAGAGAGCTGAGAGGTGTCCGTGTCAGCCAGTCAGGTCTCTGAAGTGAGTTGAGAGACGTGCCTACTGCTGAGAGTGTGTGGACATGGCTATGGGCCAGATGTAACCTGACCTGGGGAAGTATGCTGAGCTTCATGCTACTACAGGTACTCCCCCTCCAGGGAGTGAGTGAAGCAAGCGAAAAAGTACCATGACGTTTCACTTCGGCTGAGTCAGTGCAGAGGTAACTATGCTGAGTGAGGCTGTGCCAGTGCTGAGTGAGGTAATTGTGGCATATGCCACAATGCCTCCCTGCTATCGAGGATGAAAGGACCACAGATCGAGGATCCTGCAAGGGCAAGAATGGCGTCTGCTGATTGGCCGAATAGCAGTGTTCGGGTCATTCTGGGTCCCTAAAGTAGTAGGTTGGTTGTTGCATCTATTATTTGGACTGGTCTATATCTCTTTATGGAGTGATTGTGAGTGCGAATGCCCACAGGTATGGCTGGGTGCTGAAGGTGAAGCTGGAGATCAAAGGGAAGCCAGCAGGCTCCCCAGTCGGCTAAAGACTGGGCAGTCCTTGTGCTACTGCAGCTCTTGTCATGTTCTGCTGGAGGATCAGGGAATGCCGATTTCAGTTCTGGATTCTGGGGCTTAGGTACACATGTGCTGTGTAAACATGCATGGAATGAGGGAAGCTCGCTGTCCAATGAGAGAGCCGAGAGATATCCGTGTCAGCCAGACAGGTCTCAGCCTGCTGCTGAGGGTGCGAGGATACGGCTGTGGACCTGATGTGACTCTGGCTGACTCAGTGCAGAGGCAACTATGCCGAGTGAGGTGATTGTGGCAACTGCCACAATGGCATATGATCTTCAGACCAGACAAATGCAAGGTACTCCATTTCACCAGATCACATACACCAATTTAATACACCTACTCTCTACACAACTAACAACTGACACCCACATGCTACAAATACCTTGGAATACACCTCACTAAGAATCTCTTTAACAATCACTTCATCACGAACAAAGCAAACGGAACACCAGGTTTCTGAGGAGAAACCTACACAACTGTATTCTAGACATTAAACACATAGCTAACAACACACTTGTATGCCCAACACATGAGTACTGTACAGCTGTATGGGACTCCCTCACCAAGCATGAGTGAACAGGTCAACACAAAGGCTGCCAAGTTTATTACACACAATTACACATGTACACCTGGTAAAACAACTCACACAAAAAAACATATAAACATGGACCTACTCAAGGCATGAACACAAGCACACACACTCACAACCATGTACAAGATCACAAACAACCTTACTGACAATAACAAACATAAATAGCTACAACCAGACTCTTACAAGCAATCTTTCTTTCCACTCACCATATGCAGCTGGAGCAGGCTACCATAACACATCATTAAATCAAGCACACTAAAAACCTTCACTGACAGACTTAACAAGCACATGACATTATAAGCATCTTCACAAATCCCAACTCTACCCCTTATACCCTAATCATTTCCCCACTCCCAGCAACCAACCACATATGTGCTTACCAGCACCCTGTGAATTATCTTTGAGATTGAGATATCCACTACTCACGCCCTTTACTTTCTTTTATCACCCATATCCATTACCCACACTTACTACCCACACCCAAAAACAATGAAAGAAAAGAAGAAAATCTAAACTCGGTGGTTACCACAATAATAGTGAGTTGATGAACAATACAAACTCAGGAAAATCAAATTTAAAAATAATCATAGAAATTATCAATGATTTCACCTAAACTTTTATACAAATAAAGACTTTGATAAATGAATAAGATAACAGTACACAGACTCAATCCAAAACAAAAAATACAAATTTAAATTATCAAATTTATAAACTACCATCCCAAAACGACAAGTGACAAGTAAAGACACAAAAAAGGTTCACCCTTAATGAGATACCTATAGTAACAGGTCCACACCTAGATAGTGACCGCCTTCCAATAATAAGACATTGACCGCCTTCCAATAATAAAAGATGAAATCTATCAAATCTTTCCAAAGATCTTAGAAAGAAAATGGAAATTTACAAATGAAGGATGGTCAGACTATGAATCAGACCTTAGTAAAGCAAACATTAACCCATTCGCGCCGGGTAAAAATGAACAAAAAATGGGGGAAATGCTGTGCTCATTTTTTATATTTTTTAATGAAATTTCTCTACACTAGATGGCTCTGCTTTACCTGATTTCATTTGGCGGGAAAATGTATTTTTACTAGTGCTATGAATATCAATGGTTATTTTTATTATAAACATTATAATTACTATAATGTTATAAACATTAGTAACAGCAAAATAATTTCGTAAATTAAAGAAAAGGGTAAACAGACGAGACAGGCAGTACAAGTGCAAGTGGAGCCATCTATGTTAGTAAACAATCAAACAAGTAAACTCACAGTGGGCCCGTCACGTAAGCGTGACGCCCGGAATGAATGGGTTAACATAGATTTACTAACTGAACTAATGACCTAAATAAAAGACACTCGGGAAAAAGCATTACAGCTTTGATAATAATAAAATAAATTACAAACACAAGAGATCCCGGTAGAACCAAAAATGCAATGAAATAATAAAGAAGAGATATAAAGCTTATAATAAATGGAGGAAAAGACCAAGCCCAGAAAATAGACTAAACTATTAAAAATTATTAGCAGAAGCCAAACAGGTCACTGAAGGAGAGGAAAGAGAATCGCGGGAAAACTTTTGTGCTACCATAAATTTCAAAATTCCTTCCCAAAAATATGGAATTCCATTAAGAAAAAACAAAAAACAAAAGTAAAACAACTACATGTAATTACCCTCTAATAAATTACAACTCCAAAGTAATTTAAATATAAAAAAAATATAATTATTTAAAGAAGAATATGAAAATGTAATAACTATAGAAAAAAATGGAAAAAGAAAAAATAGTAGTTACAGTGAAGAAGACATAGATAATTCTATGTGTAAAAACAATTAAACAAGTAAACTCACAGTGGGCATGTCACATATACGTGATACCCAGCGTGAATGGGTTAAAGAACACAGAAAATTTCAAAATTTACTGAGATTGAAACAGGCAAAAAATGGAAAATAAATTTTTGAGTTAACGCAATTCCTAACATATTCCCAATTCCTCCATGGTCTGACATCCTACAAAACATGACTCAAACTTTATGGACAATGAGAACAAAAACAAACCTCACCAAATAATACAACACTGCTTCCACCTACTAGAAAATACCACATACCAAAATTACCTCAAAATATACACAGGCAGACCAAAATAAAACTAAACAAAACAAAACAAAAAAAATCAACAACAGCAGCAATACACTCAATACAAAAACATTACAACAATTTGGAAGTTACAAAACAACACACAAATAACAGAAGCAAAAATATTAGCAATAACACATGTTTAACCTAAATAAACAACAAACTACAGAAACTAAGACTCACATTCAAGTAATAAAAAAATACAAACCAGTAAAATACAAACAAATAATATATGAGATACAACCCCTAATGCACTTATTAAACCATTTGCCCCATGTGGCAAGAATAGATGCCATGCCCACTGTGATACATGTTTATTTATTGTATTTACACATAGATGGCTCTACAAGTTCTTAACCCAATGCTGCCGGGGAAAATTAACAAAAAATGGGGAAAATGCTGTGCTTATTTTCTACATTTTTGTGAAATGTCTGCCCATAGATGGTTCTGCTAATGCCTGATTTGAAATGGCGGGAAAACCGTATTTTTCACTAGTGTTATGAATATCGATGGTGTTATTTTTATTATAAACATTATAATTATTATAATGTCTTTTAACATTAGTAACAGCAAAATAAGCTAACGTAAAATATTTTGTAAATCAAAGAATAGGGTAAACGGGTGAGACGGGCGGTACTCGTAACTGGCTCATTGGTGATTTAGAACAAGTGTTGCCATGTGTAAAAACAATCAAACAAGTAACTCACAGTGGGCATAGCACGTACATACACGTGTTACCCGTCAACATTGGGTTAATCACCAAATAGCCAGTTTATCAGAACTACCTATCTCAACTGTTTACCCTTTTCCTTCACTTTAGGAATTTTTTTTTTTGTATCATTTCATTGTCTAAAATATTTCAACGACAATTTAGTAATCATATCAATAACAATAATAACAGTATCGATAGCAACAGCTGAGCACATGGAGCCATCTGTATGTAACAAAATTCACCAAAATCTACAGGGGACAGAACATAAATCCAGGGTGAATGGGTTAAACACTCAAAAACAACATGTAAAATTACAATGGATCCATTCACAAATGAACATAAAAGAAAATTAAATAGCTGATGAAGTTGCAAAACAAACTTCGTGAAATGAAAGATCCTACACCCATGACCCAAAATTTAACAAATATAATAAGGAAAATAAAATGAAAAAAATAAGAAAAGTGGATAACCAACTTAACCCATTGCTGCCGGGGAAAATGAACAAAAAATGGGGGAAATGCAGTACTCATTTTTTATATTTTTGTGAAATATCTCTGTCCATAGATGGCTCTGCTAGTCCTGATTTCACCTTTCCTTAAATTGGGGGGAAAAAACGTATTTTTACGAGTGCTATAAATATAGATGGTGTTATTTTTAACAGCAAATTAGGATAACGTTAAATATTTTCGTAAATCGGTGAAAAGGGTGAATGGGCGAGACAGGCAGTACTTGTAATTGGCTCACTGGATACTTAGTACAAGGGTAGCCATCTATGTGTAAAAACAATCGAACAAGTCGACTCACAGCGGGCATGGCATGTACGTACATGCGGCAATGAGTTAAAAGAAATATTAAACACAAACGATTATGATATTAAAGATAACCCACAGAATAGAAAAATGAAATGTGAGCATTACAAAACTAATGACAAAATACACAACATTTAAAAAAACATTGTTCATATCAAAAACAGAAATGGATGGTGTAACAAACAAAAAGGAACACTAGAACATTTAAACTTACAATGCCCAAGATTTAACTCATACAGGACAATTTAATACAATCACTAAATATGATAAAAGTACAAAATCCTGACTTGGATTTATTATTTACAGGTGCAAATCAACCACCCTTAAAGAAGTATTACATTTTAAGACAAAAATCTTTCTACAGAGAACAGGAATAATGAGATATAATTTGATAACAACAAAGAACCACAAGAAAAGATCCTTGGAATATAGACTAGAGAATAGTCTAAAACCCTATAAAAGAATTCAGTAGAGCAACATATTTGACAATTAATAATAAAATTTGAATCATAATAATCATAATTTGAGTAACACTATTTGCTTCTCCCCAAATATATATTTTCATTAATTCTTAATTGTGTTTTTAAAGTACCAATAATCACATCAGTACAGGCATATGCAATCAAATTGTTTACATTATAGCAGGAATTTTTATTTCTCTGGAAACAAGAATTGCAGCAACAGCACATTCTAACATCACTGACCATTGGAGTAGGAGGAGGGAGTGAATAATGCCAATATGATTCTATATTCTTCCCTATGGAAACTCCCAATTTATTTTTGTAATGACCATGGTAATCATGATAATCTACCTTCGAAACTGTACTTCTTTTCTCACTATGATTTCACAGTTCTTGTAAAAATGAACAATGAGTAAAAATGGTAAAAATATGTTTCAACTATTCTACTGTTTACATTTACTCTTATTTCATAGCTATAGCTCTTTCTTTTATAGGTATTTATATTTGTATTGGGTATATTTGTATAAGAAAGATAACAGCAGAATTAAAGGCATTTGAGCATCTTTTTGTTATCAGTTTTTGGGTTAGACATTGTGTGATGACATGAAGTACTATAATATGTCTGTCTATGGCACTAAGGAAATGGGGTGTGACCTCCTATATATCCAGATTGAATAATCTATGGGCTTACCTAATATCAGCTGGTTACCCTATTCCTTGAATTGTTACTCTCAGTATTGTTTAGTGATGATGGTGATGGTCATGATGGTGGTGGTGGTGATGATGATGATGATGATGATGATGATGATGATGATGATGATGATGATGATGATGATGATGATGATGATGATGATGATGATGATGATCCCTCAAGATTTTGCAAAACAATCTCAACCCTGAACAATCACAATACGCAGTACCTTTGTTAGGCCTAAAATTTTCACACCAGCTTTTATTCCCTTGGGATCTTCCTCAAACAGGCTGGGATCTGTAAGGAGCTCTTCTTGGTTGACTTTTTTAACTTCAGCAGGTTGTCCAAGCCAGTAGGATTTCTGATGAATAAGAATTTTTTTATTCAGAAGCAGAAACTTAATATATTCTTTTTCAAACATATGCATGCTTAGACACAAATGCACATGTACGTGCATACGCACATGCGCACTCACACACACAAACAGATGGTATATGAATATATCCAACAATATATATACACATGCAGTTATCTCAATGCACAGCTGCAGTACTTACCATAAATGGGAAATACCATGGTTGTGGCATACCAAACTGCCCTGGCCAAACTGCTTCAATATACCAAGTCAGGAGGGCAAAGATAATTGTGTTGATAATAAGCATTCCAAACACATGGCCCAGTGTAAAGGAGTCATCCGGTGATACTCCAGAATACAGAAGGTTCCAATGTATGCCAGATCCTGCGCCTTCAAACATGGATGTCATCTGGCATCCCAGGCTCATGGCAGTGTTTGAGAGGAGGCACAAAACAATTTTGTTCCCATTTGTCAAAGAAGAATAGCGAGGCCGAAGAATCATGTATGGGAAGTATGTGAAAAACCACAGTAAACCAGTTGCTGTTGCAGCACTGTTAGCTAGAAAGTGGAATAATATATTATAATTGTGATCATTCTTACCATTTCTATCTTCAGTATATATGTATATAACATTCAAATACTAATTAAAATCATGGGCCTTATTTGCTATTTATTACTGAATCTCCATAAAAGCATTAAAATGACCATAAATTTTTTTTTTATCATATGATTTCATAATAATTACCTTTTGAGAAAAGAGTAGAAATGAAGAAGCAGAAACTGATGGAGCAAATTGTGTAGAGCAGCAAAAAGATGAATACCAACGTTGGATCACTGTTGTTCAGCACTGCTAAGCTCCCTTCCCCTTGCCTTTGGACAACAAGCATGTACATGAAAGCATAGCAACACTCAAGATCCATAGACATTTTTACTTATACTGCTTAATACTACAAGCTAGATTAAGGTATACATGTATGTATGTATATATGTATGCATATATGTATCTCTATATATATATGTATATGGTATATGTAAATGTATATGTATATCTATATAAAATATATATACATATACTTATATAAAAATATTCAGAATAGATATATATAAATATAAATATATATATATATATATATATATATATATATATATATATATATATATATATATATACATATATGTATATGTATATGTATATGTATATGTATATGTATATGTATATGTGTGTGTGTGTGTGTGTGTGTGTGTGTGTGTGTGTGTGTGTGTGTGTGTGTGTGTGTGTGTGTGTGTGTGAGTGTTGTGTGTGAGTGTTGTGTTGTGTGTGAGTGTTGTGCGTGAGTGTTGTGCGTGCGTGTGTTGTGCATGCGCACAACACACGCACGCACAACACACGCATGCACAAAACACACACACACACACACACACACACACACACATATACATATACATTTACATGTAACACACACACACACACACACACACACACATATATATATATATATATATATATATATATATATATATATATATATATATATATATATATATATATATATAATGTGTTGTGCGTGCATGTGTTGTGCGTGCGTGTGTTGTGCATGTGTTGTGCGTGCGTGTGTGCGTGTGTGTGTGTGTTATTCCAAGGTTCTTACCTATTTGTTTCAATATGGGAGTAGAGCTAAGTTCAAATGGTCCTGTCTGCTATACTTAAATTATCATATAATTTTTTAAATTGATGCATATTTTTGGCACACACAACATTAACTGGAAGATTGTTCCATGTTTC